GCAGCTTGCACGGGCGGACAGACGGACGGACGGACAGACAGTCACCGGATTTCAACTCGTCTCTTCATCCTGATCATTTATATATATAATATATACCCTATATCTAACTCGATTAGTTTTAGGTGATACAAACAACCGTTAGGTGAACAAAACTATTATACTCTGTAGCAACAGGTTGCGAGAGTATAAAAAGGACAGTAATGTGAAGTGAGGCTGTCGAAGCTGGTCTAATAGAGTTGGGGCGAGAAAAATTAGGCAGTTTCGATCGGCTAGTCAAAAGAGCTGTTTATAAATCAGTAAGGATAGTCTAGATTTGTGAATAGATTAAATGTATTTTTATTATTCGAAATTCATTATATTAGGGATATGAGGTTTAGATCAAGACAAAATTCATTTATATTAATCGCCAAACCATTAATATAATTTTATAACTTTTAAGAAAATTATATAGGGTATATAGATATGTATAGAGGGGCAGAGAAGGTTGATTGCATTAATTTTTGACATTGTTTATGTATATTTGAGAACATATTTTCAAGCAATTTTATAAAAAAATATTTAAATTTAAACATATAGATGGAGTAAAGCCAGCGGGATGTTTCAACACCCTGAATATCAGTTATATGGAGGCTAAGGCAAGTTTTCTATCTCAATTTCATTAAAAATACTTCCACATTGGGCGATATATGTGGTATAAAGTTATCTGGAAGTTGAGGGTAGAAGTATTGATCCGATTCAACCCATTTTGCCTTAACCGTATATTATTATCAATAAAACGTTATCCGCGAATTTCAATAACATATCTATCAGATTGACCAATATTTCCGGAAAACTCAACATACGCACCGGGGTCCACATATTGTAGGGATTTTTAAACTCGATTGCATACCTCAAAGGTATTATGTGCAAAGTTGTATCCGAATATATTTATTGGTGCTGAATTTGTATACTAGAAAGTCAAAAATTAGATGGAATTTGTTGCATTCAGATTGCGCCCATTTTCACAACGTAACATCGGATCAGGATAAAGTTTTGTACCAAATTTGGTTGAAATTAGTCATGTAGGTCCGAAGTTATGTGATTTTATGTAAATGTGGGCGGTGCCACCATCATCCAATTTTGACCCCGG